CTATACTTACTAAAGAATGCCTATATATAGTACACACAACTATATCACATATCATAAACAACAGATCAACATATTTGTTCATTCTTCTCCAACGCTGGCTTCTTGTGCGGCTGCACAACAATAAACATTTTGCGCATGTGAATTCCAAATTCTAAATGTTTTCCAAAAATATTATTCCATTGTTCCTGGCATTCAGCTTGCATCATTGAACAGCTCAAACTTCCGAACTTCTTCGGTATTATCACTAATGCTCTCGGAAATCTCTAAAAATTCAAGTAAGATGGAAAAAAGTAAAAGAATTTTCACAAATGAAGCGTAATAAAAGTGTGTTGAGACCTAACAACCTTTTTCTATCGGCGCGGCTACCTGTAATGGAATGATCATGAGAAACTCCTGCGATCATCAAAAATGGTTTATAAATCAACAATGTGGTTAAAAGCTGTCAGATCAGGTATTATGCGTGAATATTATAAAACTGTCTCTTCAGCAAACATTCGTTCTACTTCGTTGTAAAATTTCTCTTTCAAAAGGTGTCGCCGAAGTCCCAATGTCGGCGTGACTAGACCATTCTCTGGTGTTAGCTCCTGAACCAAATGAGTTAATTATTCTTCTGGTGTAGTATCCTATAATAAGCTAACTTACCTCTGAAACGAGTACGTCGGCAGAATGAGACCCGTGACAAAACAAGGTCACAGGGTAGGAGCCCCCATATGGAACCTATGGGCCAAAGTTCGGTCTTTCTCTGCCACTTCTAACCCCCAAAATTTCAAAGCGAAAGCAGCGCTCATCTCCTGTCCTCTCCGAACCCGCCCACCCCATGGACGAGTGACTTCCGCGGTCAGAGCGCCAGCCGCAATGCTATAAGAGCATGAGGTCCCGCAACGACTCTGCGTCTTCGCCATGACGGGCTTCGCGTTCACTCGTCCATGGGGTGGGCGGGTTCGGAGAGGAAAGGGGATGAGCGCTGCTTCCGTGTTAAAATTTCGGGGGTTAAAAGTGGCAGAGAAGGATCGGACTTTGGCCGATAGGTTCCATATGGGGGCTCCTACCCTGTGACCTTGTTTTGTCACGGGTCTCATTCTGCCGAGGTACTGCCTTTAACCCATTGACGACGACGCCTAATTTTGCGTGGCGGCGCTGTGGGACGACGCGATATTGCATAACACTTTCGGCATGGGAAAGTTATGTAGTTATTCACGAGATGTAAAGTTGTTTTGTGAACAACTACAATAATCTTCATGGACGACGAAGTCCACAGGTTACAAGAATGCAAAAAATTAGAAGAAATACTGAATTATGGAAGAATACCAGACCTGGAAAGCATATGACTTTGTAAGGGCTGTGGGCCACCGGTGGTCCACATCGTCCCTGGCAGCAAAAAGTGCGTGGGCCACCGGTGGTCCACATCGTCGTCAATGGGTTAAGGGCAGCGTTTCGGCAAAATTTCGCTTTCCTCCCCCTTTTCATCTTTTCGGAGCCTTCTCGCCAGCAGCACATGAATATGACAAAAATGAGATTTTTGAAACAGTCCATGTCTGCATCTTGTGGGAAATATAGATATGTATAAGCGATTCATCGCGCGCAAGGACTGCGGACGTATCGGCGTCTCTCTGGTAAAGAGCTCTTTCGTTTCTCTTACCATCTGCTATTTCTCCCGAGCACGAGCTATTCTGTGGTCGTATTCATCAACGAACACAGTGGGTTCCGCTACCCAGCGGGTAAGCAGAAACAGTGCCACTGGGTTGGATCGATATCCACAGCTGCTGGGTTCGCGAACCCACTAGCTTCGTGACTACCGGGGCAGTATGCAACAATCGCCCTTTCGGGTAAGTTATCCGGACAGGTAGTTTCCGCTTCATAGCTCGGTGCTCTGGGAATCTGTGTTCTTCCTTGTTTCTTCATCTATTGGAGGATCTCGTGGGTTAAGCCTACCCAATGAGTTTCGAAACCCACTGGGTTCGTCGATGAATACGGCCACTGGTTGGACGCAACGGCGCCCACTCAGACAGTCGGTGCCGTAGCTCCAGAGGACAGTCGAAATCTGGCAGAGCTGCGGAGGACCCAATTTATCATTGATAGCGGGGCTAGGGGGCGGTCCCTCTCTGAGACGTCACGGTGACATCACAAGAAGGCAGATGGGACCCCTCCGGCGGGCTTGCAAATCTCTGCTCCGGAGGTACGCTAGATTTGGGAGAGCCCCGGAGCACAAAATGGGAGGGCTCCGGAGCACAAATGGGAGGTCTTCGGAGCACGAGTGGCAAACCCCCGCTGGGCAAACCCCGCGGCTCTGCCATTTCTGCTCCGGAGGTATGCCGTCGACTGTCTGAGCAGTCATTGCTTGTTGTAACGGAGGACGCGCAGGAGGAACCAAAGGCCTACCCCGGCAGTGTCCGCAGGAGATAATTAGAGGCGCGAGCACTGCGCCGGGGGTGTATGCCAAGATGAACGATAGCTGGCAATAAGCATACAGTACTGCAGCCGCTGTCAATATGTCGCACATAAAGTCTTACTTTTTGAAGCTATATGTTCTAAACTGGATCGAAAATGGTGTCGAACAGTAAGAATTAGAGCATATAGAGCTTCCAGCGTTCTCTCCAAGTTCTACATATCATCATAGCGTAAATATGGAATTTGAAAAAGATTTGACCCACGCAGCGCATATGGCTGGCACAACCTATCGTTCATGTTGGCTGCCTCCCCTGCGCCGGAGATTTGGCCAGGATTCAAGAAAATTTGGCAGGAATCCATAAATGTTCTTAAGAAAACTTACCTCGTAACTTCGCTGGAGAAAACGCTAGAGACATAAGTGGGGCAGTTTTGTAATCTGCGTTTTCAGCCGCATTTATAGGAGGAATTAGAGCGGAATTCACTTTTCATTTACAGTTAATCTTTAAATATGAATATCCTCAGAGAAACATTAGCTACGTCAAAGTACTACTTACACTCAAGTTTCAATATTTTTAAGAATTATGGAATGTCAAGAAACCGAAGTCGTCAAATCGTGACGCAGAAAATGGGTAGTAGAAAACTGAAGATTAAGAAATTGTTCACGAAATCTTGCTCGAATTCAAATCATGAACCATCTGAAAACCACAATGGTAAATTTACAACTTACAGAAAATCTTACGTCAATGTGATGCAAATTCTCAATTTCTAAAAAATTTCCAATTTGGTTCAAACACAATTTTGCAATCATTTGATTTATCAATTCAGGGTTTTATCTTGGACTGCTGACCTTAAGTTTACCTTCCCCTCCATTTTCCAACTTGAATCTGAAAATTCTTTAAGGCGAGTTTTCTTCGAATGACAGTTATTTCATTAAGAGAAGTCAAGAAAAGTGGATTTCAAAACTTTTACTCGTATTTCTTGTGCTTTTTCCTAAGCAGAGTTATGAAATACGTTTTCATATGGTCTCCTTCATGTTTCTTTGCTAAGTTGTTTTGGATCCTTGCCAAATCCTCCCCACGGTGCTTGCGCTCTCAATTGCCTCCTGCGGATTTGGCGGCAGGGCCTCTGGTTCCTCCTGCTACGCCGCCGTTGTAACTCACCGATAAGTACTCAGACAGTCGAAGGGATACCCCCGCCGGGCATATGGCGCGAGTCTGCCACTTCGCGCTCCGGAGCCCTGCCATTTCACGCATTTTTGTGCTCCGGGGCTCTCCCAAAAGTGGCGCACCTCCGGAGCAGAGATTTGCGCGTCGCGGAGAAAGGTCCCATTCGTCCTGTTTGTGACGTCACCGTGACGTCACGGTGAATGAATGGGGCCCCTCTCCGCGACGCGCAAATCTCTGCTCCGAAGGTGCGCCACTTTTGGGAGCGCCCCGGAGCACAAAAATGCGTGAAATGGCAGGGCTCCGGAGCGCGAAGTGGCAATTCTCCGCTGGGGAAAGCCTGCGACCCTGCCACTTCTGCTCCGGAGGTATCCCATCGACTTTAGGAGTAGGCGGGATCCCGAAGTAGGAGGCGAGTCGGAATACTTCCGGAGTAGGTTTTAGGCTCTCCAGAAGCACTTTCTCGCCCCAGGCTGATAGATTAGCTGGGGGTGAGGCCTACCATTGCAACGCTGTAAAGTTTCCACCATCAATCACTTTGTCTGGACGCTGTCTTGCTTCGAGCTGTGCCCTTCGAGATTTGGGTCAGAAGACTCTCAAAGACAAAAATCGGCTGAGTCAGAGCCTTCATGTATTGTGGATTCGTTGACGGCTGCTCAAACGTTGCGGAACACGCGCGGCGCGGCTGAAACGATGCGAGAGCACAATTTGCACAATGTCGATTCGTCCTCGAGCAAACGTTTTACCTCGCAGAGCGTGCTCCGCAGTGATGTCCAGTCCATGCGGCAACAATCTACGACACAGTATGTAAACCAACGACGTTGTCCCTGTCCAATTAGCTCGAACGCAGTGCTAGAATCTGTATGGCTATTAGCGTTCAAAATTGCCGCATCGATTGGAGGGCACTGCGCAATGCCCACGCGCTGCGGATGCGGATAGTTACCACAGAAAAGGAAGCGCTTTTTGACACGGATTTTAGTTGCTGAGCACGTGCCAAAACGACGTTTGAATTAAGAGCTCTTTCGCTTTTCAATATTCCTCCTGAAAATGTTCCTGGATGAGTCACATACGAGCTTATTGCGTTGGGGGTTAGATGCCAGCAAGTGGGTAGTCGCTCAGGAAAAACTGAGGCTTGTGCTTACAGTTCTGGAATAAAGTGCGTCCACTAGATTAGAATAGGTGGGTAGTTACATATCACCCATTTACATCCGCTCACAAATATAAGGTGCGTTCTTCATCCCATTATTGCAACTTGGAAAGCGTTTTCTTCATTCTGGGGGGGGGGGGGGGGAGGGCGAGAGGGGTACTGTAACAGCGAATGAGTGTGACTCTCCAAAATGTATTCCATGTATTCTTTTTTCGTTTTTCTCCTTTCGCAATACATCTGTAAGAGACTCTTACTCTGTTGTGTTATCGATATACAAACAAATAGAGTTCATGTCCGATTTTCAGGAACTTCGTCAAAGAAGCTGTCCGGCTGAGTGGAGAATTCGTGACAGATGGCTTTACCGGAATGGGAAGCAGGTCGTATTTCTCGTTTCATTAGTACTAACATCCAGATATCATCAGTTTCAATGATGCGAGAATCGCTCAAATACACCGAATTTCATCTTCATAAATTTTTGTCATGGGTTAAGATTTCGGTGATGTGGATTACGAATCTCGAGCTCTGGGGTGTGATTGTATCTTTCTTCTCCAAATCTTTTTCTGCAAAGTGCTCCCGGTGAATCTCACTTTTGTTTAATACGAGCGTTGCTATACAAGGTGTTGTATGTTCCTAAGAGTAACGCTTTTCTTAAGTTTAGAAGTCATTAGTTTCAGAAGGCTTTATCTGGAACGAGGATTATTCGCTCTCTCTGGAGGAGTTTACGTTTCGTGATGTGAGCAAAACTCTTGCGGGATGCGATGCAAATGGGGAAAAGCGCACAGTTAGAAGAGCGAGCGATTCTGCGATGTTGGACAATAGGTGCAACTATGGTCGTAAAAATAAAAGAAAAGCTCGGAAAAAGGTCTTCTATTTAACGATTCAGTTTTGGTAGTCCATATCATCACAAATTCAGGGTAACAAGCTGAAAAGGCCGGAACGTATGGAGAAGTTCAATGATGAGGCAAACGATGAGGTCCGTCCAGTCAAAGAGGTCAGTTCATTTCAAGGATGTGCCCTTTCTTGGAACAGACTCTATCTTCAGAGAGTCGCTATCTGTCATTTATGTATTTGCGACTCAGTTTTATTGATATCAGCAGTGCAATTTAGGTTAACAAGCTGGAAAAGCCAGAACATAATGGGAGGTTCAGTGACGAGCCGAATGATGAGGTCCATCCCGTCAAAGAGGTCAGTTGTTCTCAAGAAGTGTGCCTTTTCTTGGAAAAATGATCAGATATTCTTGTCTGCCATTTGTGCATATTCGGACGACTCCCTCATTTACAATCATCCCTGCAGATGTTTCATGTCACTTGACAGACCAAAGTACTCAATATCTATAATGCTGGGGGTCGTGCGGCCGCCTGTTGTGAAAGTTGTCAAAAGAGATGCAGCATACAGCACTGCAGATTTCAGATAGCGTTCATGCCAATTTGCTATCACAGATGTAGTCGAACATTTAGGTTTCTCGTGAGACTCAATTCGATGAATCGTTGAAGCTTGAAAACGTGGGCAAAATCGATGAGCAAAATTGCAAACGACAGCGATTCAGGAAGTGGGTATGTTCTTTTTCTCGTACATTCATGAACGATGTATATTTGTAATGGTGCGATTTTTGAAAGCAGTTGTCGCCGCGCTAGTTTTTGCAGACTCGAAGCAAGGTTTAAACTTCCTTTTTGAGCAAGTACAGCAGAAAACGTAGTCATGAAAACGTACATGTTCAGAAACAGCTTATTCGTTGTTAGTCCAGTTTTTCTTCAAACTGCATTTTAGTTATTTTCAAGTGATATTTAATGATTCATAGCTAGTGAATTCATTCATCTTGATTTAATGGTTCTCGCTACGAGTTGTTATCTATCTTTCCGCCATAGGCTCAGTACACATTATTTCTCTACAGCTAACGTGTAGTGATGTAGCACCAATTTGTCTCTGTATTTGAGGTAGCTTTGAGCTTTGAAGGAGTGTTTAAAGATAACGAATCTTGCGATCCTGCTGTGATTAAGGCATCAGTATGTTATTATATTCTAAAAGGTGGCTGTTCGTAGGCTGTCATTAACGTGACTTTATTTCTACTTCTGGTGAAAAATCTGTTGTAATGTAAACTGAACGGCGCAAAAGTAGAAATGTTTATTGAAATTGTTTGATTATGGTCAGCTTTATCAATGCAAACAAATGAGATTGCAACATTGAAATGGCTTTGTGTTCTTACGATAAAGAATGCATATTAAAGAATGGAGAGAAAAAGGCATTATCTTTTTTTTTGCAGAAGCAGCGACGATTCGAAAAGGGGTCTAGGAGGCTTGAAGATAACAATGGACCTTCATCTTCCTGGACAAAGCCTCAGGTTAACAGGACCGCTGATAAGTATCATGTAAGTACATATACATGGATTGCTGGTTCTCGATCTCGTGATTTTTCGTAGAGTCAAAAGGACAAAAACAGCAGCCAGTTTGTTGACAAGGCCGTCATGGGTGAAGGCGTACAAGATGCCTCACAGGTGAGTATTGACTTCACTTCCAGCGCATGGCTCAAAAGCTATTGAAATAATGATTTACAAGTGAAAACTTTTTTGGTACTAACCGTAAATTCGGATGCTTACTCGAGCATGTTTTTCTTTCATACTCTCATCTTTCTTGATAACTAGTTCGCTACCAAGTTTCAGGATCAGATTTTCTTCTCTATATTTAATGGAGTAGTTGAAGAAGCACCCATGAGACCGATTTGTGAGGAAAAGGGTGATGGTCAGGTATTACATAAGCTTTTACGACAATTTTCGCTACAATTAGTTGCTGAGTGATTTGTGAAGGAATTTGATCATGAATTAGATGCTCCAGACAAGGTCCTTGTCTTTCGAATCAAAGCCACTACTTGATGTAGAAGACAAGCACGTATGCGCTACCAAACCTTGCATCTCTGAGAAGGTGATGATTTTCATTTTGTTATCTTCTTCGTTATCATGTATATGATTCCAGGATGTCCGAAGGCGTGATACCGAAGGCAACTGCACACGTTCTCAAACGGCGAAGTTTTCACCGAGTAGAGCATCAGGTTAAGGGACCATCATCCTTTCTTACAGCTTCAGTACGTACAGTTTATAGGTGTAGCAGTCATAAAGAAACTCCTTGAACTTTCCATTCGGGAAAGCTGTAATCCGCCAAAACAGAAATCATTGAGAAAGAAATTCCGCGATCGAAAAGGAAGGCGAAATAATGACGAGGAGAAAATCATGCATAATATAACTTCTACAACAGCAGCAGATCTTGATTCTATTGATGCAAGTCATTTACCAAGGGAAGAGAAGATTAACACAGCTGTGTCTTCGAGTAAATCTCCTGAAGGTGAAGATGTCAAAGCTGCGTCTGCAGATGCAGCGTTGATGCCAGCAAATCTAATCACTGAAAGTGACGATACAGTAAAACCTAATGTTTTGCCTGATATTTTACTGCCACCTGAAGTCGAAGACTCGCACCATGCTCATGCTGTCACTGAAAAAGAGACTGACTGCTCGGAAGAGGATGTGCGCGTTTTTATGGAGAGCTCAATGCTTTTTGAGCATGATCCACGAATTAATCGTGTACTTCGTGTTATGGCTGATTTCTTGCATCCCGATGGAAGAGGCTTGCAAGGCGAGTTGCTCTCATCGCTTTTATCGATAATTCTTGAAAGAAAAATGAATTTTTAGAACTATACTTTTTCACTACCTTGAATCACCTAGTCACCTCTTTCTCTGAGAGTATCTTAGATTGAAATTATGTAGAATAGTGCTTTACCGTAATCTTTGTAACTGCAGGATGTTGCTTAGTCGTTATTGTGACATTATACTTGTGGTGTCTGAGTAACTCACGAAAAACACTACTTGCAGGTTTACTCGGTCTCAATCTCAGTGATTTTTACCGTCTCTGCTCCTTCTACAGCCATTCAAAGTTTGAAACTTTGAGTGAACTGGATTTTTCGAAAGCTGACCCAAAGCATGTGAAATCTTTCCTTGAGGTAATTGCGCTTACGGATAAACTTATTGTGATTCACTAAGTCTGTCCAGAAAATATTTTGGCTATGTCGGTCTCTCATGGTAGGAATGCTAGCAAAAAGCGCGCTTCTTGCTGAAGACCACTTAGATTTCAACCACTTGGATCTCGATCTTTGCACTTCTGAAGTATGTTTTTCTGTTCCTGACATATTGTTGTCTCTTATATTTTAGTTATGTCTTCAGGAAATCAGCGAGCGCAAAGAAATCGAAATGCTGTTAGGCTTAGTCCAAGATCTCCGAGATATATCTGCCATTCAGTCTATCGATGATGCCGGTTATTTCACGCAATTCGAACAAATCAGAGACGTTGTTGGCGCTTTTGATTGTCGAGATAGGCGAAAATTGATTCAGGTATCAACTTATCTATATTTAGCAATCAAGGGTCCTTCATGTTGCAGCTTGGTGTGGTGGACACCGCAGAAAGAGTAAGCGAGCGTATTGCTCTCGGGATGAATGTATCGGCTGATGAAGTGATGGAAGTTAGCAGGCAAAATGCTTTTACTTTGTCTTGATGTTATCCTCGTCATTCTGAACATTTAGCTGTTGCGCGACTCGATAAGTTCTAACTTTGGCGAGTACACATGGCTTGTGGAAAGTCATCCAGATTTGATAAGCACCATGAATCATTTTGACTGGTGGGTACATCTATCATTCCTCGTTATGATAATCTGAGTGTCTCGCTAACTTTAGTGTTACCATAACTATAGAGCCATCTTCGAGTCTTTTTCTTATTAAGAAAAAAAAAACGAATAAGTACATTCCATCCTCATTATATTAATTGACATTATTGAATTCAATCTAAAGTAATGAATGCTGTCAATATATGCTTCCCTCACGTTTTGTACTACGCTTGGTTAATTCAGCATTATGGACAGTATCCCATCAATGGCGCGCTGTATCGACATCCGTCCATTACGCTCCACTTTGTCGGTAAGCAGTCCGCACCGTTCCACACATCCTTAGTTGTATTTCAGCGGTTATACTCGGAAATATATTTCGACAGTGGTGTTTCATATCAAGCATTTATTGTCTTTTTAGTTTAGTTTGTACCCCGTTTTCTCTGCAAGCTCAGCAATGCAGACCGCGACAGCTGTGTGGCTAAGTATGTTGGTAAGTACCAAATAAAGGAGGCTGGCCAAAGCTGGCTGCAGTTGATTCGAGATGCAGAGGATGCGCAGCAGGTATGTTGTTCTGTGTCTCCTTTTCTTATCATTTTTTTTTGCGCAGCTCTCTCTCCAAATCACTACACAAATTCTTTTTTCTTCTGTTGATTGTGGAGGTGAAGAGTTTCTTGGGGCTCTATTAGAGGATCTTCCACTACAAAAAAAGACAACGGCAATCCAGGTAAGCAGTTGGACCTTATTTCGCTCAGCTTTTGATTGGAGTTTGCAGAGCATCAGCTACATGCCTGATGCGCTTCGCGCTGCACTTATTCCAACTGATGTCCTCACCAAGTGCGGCTTATATCATGCTGTACAACGAATGGCTGAAGAGATGCCACTTACTCGATTCAAAAGTGACGCTGTACCCCTTATTGAACGTAGGTGCATCTACTGCTTGTGAAAGTCGCGCTGCTATGATCTTGATGTTTTTTATATTGCAGAACTCTGCAGTTTTTCCACGCTTTCTCCATCTCGTCTTTTATCTAATACGTTTTTTCCCTTGATGTCTACCTCATCTAAGGCAAAGGCTGTTGTTGCAATCGCGTCGCTGGTACATCACAAATGCTTCAAAAGTGAAACTGCTGCAGGTAAAACTTTCTTGTCGTTGATTAATCCAAAGCAGTGTTCGGACCCAAGGCTTGGACTACATGTGGCTTCAACATAAAAACAATTCGGGTATTCTAACAAGCCTCATGTGGCCTGGAACTGCCAAAATTGTTCGTTGAGGAAATTGTATTACAATCTAATTTCGTTTGGAACAATTAACCTGTTCACTTGTGCTTTTGGAGTCTTGGACGTTTCATGTTATAGGCACAGGACTGTCAGCCGCTGATTTGCTGAAATTCGCTCTGCATTACTACGAACCAACTTGTGACTCTGTGAGCACTAGTAGATATGCATTTATTGGTGAGTCATCTCAACACATCCTGAATTGTATATTTCGAGTCTACATGCAGAGACTGTTTTCCGAGCAGTCAATACGATCTTGAGGGAAAATGAAGACGTACATGTTGACTTTAGTGCCGTTTTTGCACATTTTGAGGTAAGTTTCGGATAAATATTCAGACTGTTCCCAATTTTTCGTCAGGCCATCAAGTGGTACCATAAGTTCGTCATTCTCAAGTTCTTCTTCGATACTTCCGTATGGTCAAATGTAACGTTTGAGGTGCTTGCTTTTTCTTTATTAGTTCCTTTGATGTGTCAGTCTACAATGTATCAAGCTGTGAACTGCTCGGCTGAGTTTTAGAAGGCTTTCAGTATCCTTGGACTGATAAGGCGAAGGATGATGTCGAGTTATTTTGTGAGATACCATGTATATTGACGGCTTGGCCAGGCGACAACTCCAGTCTGTTTGAGAGCTTCATATGTGGTGAGAAATTGTATCCTTTCTATGAGCTACCTCTTGATTGTTTTGCTTAAGTATCCTTCTTTTTTTTAATGAAGTTTAAAGCCATAAACTACAGTAGGTTGTAGACTAGCTTGTAACTTGTAGCTAACAACTTTTATACGTACAATAAATTATTTTCTACTTTTGAAATGTTTCAGAAAACTTCCAGTCAGAGGATGCTGAAGTAATCTCGCGCTCACTACTCCTGGCGTTCGATCGTGGTCCTGGAGGAAATAGTGTTTGTGTTCTTTTTGCACTTCGTATCGGAGTTAAGAGTTCCTTTACAGGATAGCTTTCATCTTTTTGCGCGAGTGGTCGAGAAGCTGTCTGTTGACGCTCGTGATTGGGAAAGGTTCCTTTCGGAGGAGGAATACAAGTTTCAAAGCGTTTCGTTTGCGCAAGTTTTCGACTGCACTGGCATATCTTTCGGCTTCTTTGACGATGAGGATGTACCAAGCAATCCGCAGATTGTACGAAATGCTGATGTGGAGACAAAAACTGACTTGTGTGTATACTGCAATGCTTTTATAAGCGATTCCAAGGCGCAGTGCCAGTTTGCCACTTCGCACTTACTTGACGACTATGTATTTACTGCAGAGGAGAAGACTGACGAATCCGAAACTCGGCCTTTCAGTTCGATTAGTAAATCCACTGTCACTGGTTCACAAACGGAACAGTGCGATCATTTTGAAAATGTGGAAATTATTAAAGAAAGATCCGTTGTCAGTTCCAATTCTGACGTTGATAAGTTGCTGGATGAAATCATAGATAAGGTTGCGGACATGTGTCCTGCACCATATCTGGAACGAGTATCTTCCAAAATCTGCCAGCTATCTGGATCGAATGATAATTATGTCACATCTGTCAGTGGGGAAGGCGATGCTGAATACTCTAAATGTATCATCGAAAATGGTGCTGCTGCATTGTCAGACCTTCTTCCGTCACAAATAGGTACTAGTGTAAACGAGAACGCTAAGGACAACTCCATATGGACTATGGAAAGATCATGTTTGTCTTTTGATTGGGAGCAGAGTGAAGGGCCAAAAAAGGATGAGATTCTATTGGTAAGCTCTTCTCGGCATTTTCAATTCAGGAACTTGATCTTCTGAGATGTATGTAAGAGTCGAACCAAATCCTGCTGCACCCTTGAAAAATCGTGACCTTTATCTCAAATTTGCTTGCAACTTACCTTGTTAGAAGGAAGAAATCTTCAGTTTTTCAATGGGAATTTGAGGCTAAATAGACCGAATAAGTTAAAATTGCTATGAGAAGTGGAAGAAGCAAGCACTGGAGCTTTTGAATTTTTTTTTTTGAACAAACTCGAAAAATTGAAAGCTGCCGTGGATTTCGAGACAGTAGTAACAAAAGTTCTTGATTTACTTTTCCTCATTTTGGGTCCTTGCAAAAGAAGTCAGGTAGCTTAGATTCGCGTTTTGAGATGAGACACATATATTTGGAATCAGCTTCGACCCTGCGTCCAAAAATGCCAATTCTAGCTGACATCATTCTGAAGCGAGTTATTGATTCTTTTATGTGCGAATTTGGCGTATCACTTGATATGTTAAAGAATGCTTATAGATGAAAATCTGCCCAAAAAAAGTGTTGCGGTATCAAAATAAGAACAGGTAAAATTTTGTTATTGTTAACGAAGAACTTAGCACAGTATATTACCACTTAAAGTAGTATAGTAATCCAGATAAGCATGCACTTTCCGCACGGAAAAATTCATTATCGCTTCAGAATGAAGCGCCGCAGCTAGGAATAGCATATTTGGAATCAGCGATCGATGCTGATTCCAATTATTTGTGTCTCATCTTAAAACGCGAATCTAAGTCACCTGACTTCCCTTACTAGAACTTTCCTATGAAGATCTTTTGGTATTTTCCTCGAAAATTTTAACGCTTCGGGTGAAACTTTTGACTAGCAGAACTTCGCGCGTTAGGAACAGATGGTTGTAAACTCAAGACAAAGATTTTCATTTTTTGTATGTTTTTTAGTCGGACGGCTAAAACTATTCAAAAAAGGAAAAGCCACTGCTTAAAATATTTGTATTGAAAGAGGAGAAGGTATGTGTGCAGGTGACTAAAAGCCAACATTTCTCACACCAGCGTATTGCGATCCTTACGATATAAAGTCTATTCATAGGGAGTCATAGTGCCTTTCAAAAAAGGTGAAGTTGCCGAAAACGAGCGGCTTCCGCAACGGACGCTTCTACAAATCTAGCACCTCACCTTTAGATTACCGGTTCACTGGTCCAAAAAAAGAAGAGAAAGATGGTGTGAAAACAGCAATAGCACCATTTATTCACTTACACACTTCATCCGCTCCAAGTCAGTGATATTGCGGTTTCGCTTCTAAGCGGATGAATTGGATAGGCATGGCATGTGTATAGAAAGTTGGCAAAATGCCGTTACATCCGCAGACTGTCGCAGTGTAGCGAGATGGACCACCGAAACTCGAACCGATAATATGAGTTTCACTAGAAAAAACAGCTTGTGACGGCTCCGAATAAAAGGATTTTTTAGTCTTGAAGGCAGCGTCCAGGCAAATCTGGACCTATGGGGATTTTACGTAGAAAGTAATCTTGGGGCCCTAACTAAGGCACTGCCCAGCCGGCAGCTCAGGTAGTCCTCTAACGGCTGAGGTATTCTCCTCGAAACTGGACCTCAGAATCGTACTTCGCATGGATTCATGGCGCAACGCGAGTCCTCGCGCGAAACTGATGGGTTGTCCCATGAATCCATGCGAAATACGATCCTGGGGTCCAGTTTAGAGGGGAATATCTCAGCCGCCAGAGCACTCCTGAGCTGTCGGTTGGGCAGTGGCTGTTAGGTCCCCAAAATTGCTTTCACATGAGATTCCCATATGTCCAGATTTGCCTGGACGCTGCTTTAAAAAATCAATGATCCAATGCTTTTCCCTGCATATGCGCGCATCTACTACGCTCTTTCGAAATGTCTTCAACCCTTTAGTAATTTATGGAAATTCTGAACTATTTAGAGAAGATTTTCGGACGTAGCGTCTGATCAGTTCTGTTTTTAAGGACCTGCGCACATTTACATGGGCTCTGGACATAATAGAAGAATGGGAATATTGCCCTAAATCACTGAAAGATAAAGGTTTGTTTGAGAAAAAAACGAAGTTTTTGTTAGTGAACATCTGCAAATGTTACAGTATTGCTGCTAGCGCTTGAATCGCGTTGCGAAGTGATCAGAAAACGTGCCCGTCTACTAAAAGAAATCGACATTGACTGTTGACTTTTTCATTCACATGATCTGTTACTACGATATCCACAATGGTTATACCTCGGATTCCTATCCTGCTTCACAAAGGCTTCGCATGTTACTAATTCGCATAAATATTCTCATTTCAAGAAATCACCAGCTCAACAGGGAATTTTTAGATTGAATCTTGGAATATGACTGAAGTGCAGGGCGACAAGATTATTGCTAAGGTTTAGTGATTTGCTGCTGAGCATTCTGTTTTGGAACCGAAGAGTAGAATTCTTGGCCATAGATACTATAAGTTGCGCAACTCGAAGTAGATCGTGACGATTTTGACCCGGGCACAGTTCACGCGATTTCAGTTGCGACGCGATTTGGCAGTGCTCCAATTGTTTACTCATTTTGCGCGCACTCTGAATGTACATTTGGATAGGAATATCACCAAATCGCTGAAGTCAAACACGCTATGCATCTGTATTCTACCAGTGTTTGGATGTGAAAATATCGAATTGCCAGATCGCGTGCAGAGGTGCGATAGTCGGAGCCGATTCTCCGCCTACCTTCACTTTTGAGCTGGTACGGGGTGACCACCTTCACTTTTCGGTTTGAAAAATTTTTTTTGCTGAAGCTCAAAAGAAGGAAAATAAGCAAAAGGGATGTAAAAGAAAGTATTAAGAGCATATATCTATGTAGTAGGTCGATCCAGGCAGTAACCGCCGAGAACCAGAATTTCGAATGATAAAATAATGAAAAATCGTGAAAAATCATTCCACTGTTACAAATCAGCTGGCTGAAGACCTCCGCAGTTGCGACTTCATAGGTTTTGAAGGGTAAGTGTTGTTCTATCAGACAGCGAAAGAATCAGTTTGATTTGAGGAGTGGCCGCCGAGAACGAGAATTCTGAAAACCCTTAAAAATCTCCTCAATTTTAGGTTGTTCAATGACAACTGACATTTAAACTCTTATAAATCCTGACTTTGAAGGTGTGTGATGTTGCGACTTCATAGGTTTTGTAAAGTGAGGTTTGCCTTATTAGAACATATCTTAGCTGTACCGATCCATTGAAACGTCGCCGAGATCCAGGCTCCTAAAGAAGCGGGTAAAAAACCGTTTTTCAGCTCATAACTTCTTCAGAATTGCATGAATCATGTTGCGACTTCATAGGTTGGATTCTCCTCATCAAGAGCTTTCAGATGATATATAATATGTGGGGGGTTCACGCCTTCCACGGCATATGCCCGGGGGTGGAGTACTCCTCTTCACTAATTCTCCACCCCGCCCATTTCAATGTATTGGCGGGAGGCCGCCAGTGGAGAATTAGTGAAGAGAGGTACTCCACCCCCGGGCATATGCCGTGGAAGGCGTGAACCCCCCACATATTATATATCATCTGAAAGCTCTTGATGAGGAGAATCCAACCTATGAAGTCGCAACATGATTCATGCAATTCTGAAGAAGTTATGAGCTGAAAAACGGTTTTTTACCCGCTTCTTTAGGAGCCTGGATCTCGGCGACGTTTCAATGGATCGGTACAGCTAAGATATGTTCTGATAGAGCAAACCTCACCCTACAAAACCTATGAAGTCGCAACATCACACACCTTCAAAGTCCGGATTTGTGAGAGTTTAAATGTCAGTTGTCATCAAACAGCCCGAAATTGAGCAGATTTTTAAGGTTTTTCAAAATTCTCGTTCTCGGCGGCCACTCCTCAAATCAAACTGATTTCTTCACTGTCTGGTAGAACAACACTTACCCTTCAAAACCTATGAAGTCGCAACTGCGGAGGTCTTCAGCCAGCAGATTTGTAACAGTGGAATGACTTTTCACGATTTTTCATTATTTTATTATTTGAAATTCTGGTTCTCGGTGGTTACTGCCTGGATCGACCTACTTTATTCGCAGTACGTTATGACAAAATCTACTTAATGAAATATGTAAGGTCTAACTGGGATTTACTTACAAATAGACCATTTCAATAACATATTTATTTCTTTTTATTTTATTTTTATGCCGCTATACTCATCGTATTTGTGGCCCTAAAGAGGGCCGTTAGGTCACACTTGTTGGCCCTCAAGGAGACCGTTGGGTCAGAGTTCTTCAATTATCCGAAGTCTTCTCCCTCCCCCCCCCCCCCCCCCGGTCGACGTTTTTGGGAGGTGAGTGTCCGGCACTACCACCTTCACTTTTGGCCGGCCAGTGGTAGCTGGAACCACCTTCACTTTTGGGGGGCCCGGCTCCACCTATCGCACCTCTGATCGCGTGGCGACTGAGATCGCATGGATTGCCTGAGGCATGGAGCTTGATATGCAGACACGTATGCCAGTTTTGAGTTTTAGTTTTTGGAACCGATGTCTCGCGATATCTACTAGTGATCCACGATCTTATGGGCAACTATTCTCAATTATTCTGGCAGCCTCGAGCACACTATCGAGAGACCTGAAACTTTCACAGAAACATACATGAGAAGTGCGATATCCACTGTTAGGTAAGCATTCGAGGATGGTTAGCGATAAACTGTTTGAACAAATCTATCTATCAATAATGTAAGCTGAGCATCAAGTTTTAACCTGTCATCAAGTTCATAAGCATTGGATTTCAAGACTCTTGAAAGTTGTCTGGATTGGAGCTAGAAAAAGATTCAGAAATGGCAAGATTTGTGCCAAAATCTTCTAATAAGTTTCAAACTGCGAAGTAGTTAGAGATGGTAGGGTTCGCGTGGCGTCATGATGCGGAGGAGGCCATTTTTGTTTATTTTTGGGTTTTGTTGATTCAGCGAGAAGAGACAAGAATGTGGAAGGGAACGTACGCATGTATCGTCGATGCGTTGACCGCACGGACTGGACATCATTGTAGAACACGCGCCGCGAGGTAAAGCGCTTGCCCCAGTACAAATGCCATTGTACAACTCGCCAACATTCCGGCCTCGCCGCGCATGATTCGCAAGGTTTGAGCAGTCCGTGAGGTCAACGAATCGGCGATACATCCCCGCTGGTGAGGGTAAGGGAGCTGAGTGGGGGGGGGGGGACTCGCCATATTTCGCTACTCTAGATAGATATCTGTATTCTACTCTTTCTGTTGTTACAGAGGTCCTTATACTCTGATACTTGAGTATGATGGATTCTTTTCAGAATCAATGAAAAGTCGTAAGGTTGTGTTGAGGATCTTCTATGGCACTGACAGGGATGTTTTTGACAAAAGAAATGTGCAGGTTTTGAGTCGACGAACCTCAGCATGCGAAGAGCATTTCATCGGAGATTCGATATCTTGAGATTTTACTAATTTCTACTGTCGACTTTTAAGCAATGCCAATCTATATCCTCGGTACAGTTTTGCAGCATATTCGTCGAGCTTATAGGAAATCGAATGACTTTGAAAATGTGAGGTGATCTCCTGGGGAGCTGAGAAAACTCAGCTTGTATGGCAATGTTCTGTCATCCATTATACTCATGTATTAGGGTATGAGAACCAAAGATAGAAGAAGAATGATGCAGATTTCGGAGTAGCGAGATACGATGCGTATTCATTCCGATTCCCTTCCCTCCCCCGCAAGGATGTACGTGCATCCTAGAACCTAGGTACTGTCGCAGATATGACATTCTGGAATAAAGCACAAAGCACTGTCCAGCAAACTATTGATTCTGAAGTATGCGCGATTGCCATAGATGTTGTTACTCGTAAATATACTTCGTAGGGCTGGCTGCATATTGGTGATATTGGCGAATGGTTACCGAATGGTGCGCTGAAAATAAACGACAGGAAAAACGCACTTTTTGAACTGGCGCAAGGCGATTTTATGTCCCCAGAGAAAATCGAAGCCTTTTATCTCAATTCCGAACTAGTCGTTCAAGTAAGCTCCTCGAGTAAGCCAATAAATAATCACTCTGATAATATTAAGATATTTGTCACGGGGGTCACCACTCGTTCATTTTTGGTTGCTATTGCAGCAGTAAACATTGCAAATCTTCGAAAAGCTCTCGAATCAAGGAAGTGAGTTTTAGAGCTATTGTTGGAGTAATTAATCCATAACAAAGTCCGTATTCGGTTGGCTCGATATGCTGAGCTACCTTTGGAAGAAAATGCTAGACGAATCTGAAGTACGAAAATTTGTGCTTGAAGAACTCAGTCGAACAGGTAGGGAAAAAGTGCGATCAATCGAACTAGTTGAAGGCAGTACCTCGGCAGAATGAGACCCGTGACAAAACAAGGTCACAGGGTAGGAGCCCCCATATGGAACCTATCGGCCAAAGTCCGATCTTTCTCTGCCACTTTTAACCCCCGAAATTTAACACGGAAGCAGCGCTCATCTCCTGTCCTCTCCGAACCCGCCCACCCCATGGACGAGTGAACGCGAAGGCCGTCATGGCGAAGACGCAGAGTCGTTGCGGGACCTCATGCTTATAGCATTGCGGCTGGCGCTCTGACCGCGGAAGTCACTCGTCCATGGGGTGGGCGGATTCGGAGAGGACAGGAGATGAGCGCTGCTTTCGCTTTAAAATTTTGGGGGTTAGAAGTGGCAGAGAAAGACCGAACTTTGGCCCATACGTTCCATATGGGGGCTCCTATCCTGTGACCTTGTTTTGTCACGGGTCTCATTCTGCCGATGTACTGCCTTTAAGAGGACTAGCGACCCTAAGGGCCGCTTACAGCTGGTAAGGCAAATTCATCTGGGTGCAAAAGAATAGTCACTCAACACTACAAACTTTTAACTAAATAAAAACTTTCCTACGTCCATAAGAATATAGGTACTGTGCAAATATCCTACAAACCATACCGAACTGATACTATATAAAAGGACTGCCCTGTGGGTCGTTTTTAGGATGTCCTTATGAACCACAGTGGGTCGCTCATAGACCGATATTCTATATAAGGACTGCCCTACTGCCTCCCTCCCCCGCCTCCTCTTCCAACAAAGTGTTATTCACAAAGGCTCTCTGCAGGCCACTCACACATAGTTTGCAAGAAACACTGCTTGGGGGCTGCAGACCAATAATTATGAAAAGAAATGAACTGTAAGCCTTCAGAACCCAAATATTTTGAGAAGAGGTGCCCAAGGGGGCGGCTTACCTATCACACTTATTAAGATTTTATGCCCTAGGTGCCGCCTGCAGACCATCTTGAAAAAGAACTGCCAACGAACCTACAGAGCAATATCAAGAA